ACCTTACTCACCTTGTATTGATTGAATAGGAACGCAGACCGTTTTGCTCTGATACAAGTCTTCCGTCTAAATCTTTGGGAGCTGCTCAAGATTCGAAACCACAACTTCGAGGACTTTCTATCCTGGTTCTCCAATCAATCATTCCGTTACACTCCATTGCAACAACACGTGTCTTATTCCTAAATAACTTGGCCTGCCGTCTGTTCAGACTTGGGAAAATTTGACATCCCTTTTCCTACTTCTGGCTCATCATGGCAGACGCTCTTGCAAATCAACTCAACACCACAAGCTTAGGGTATGTTCCCGTTACCAAGTGGCAGCTGTCTTCAGTTCGAGATAACTCAACTCATACGCCCTCTACAGGGAAGCGAACTCGGAAATGAGGTGGAAAGAACAATTGAATATGCCTGCGAAAGACGCAAGACCGCAGACTGAGGTTTGTGGCTCAATAATGGTGTCACTCTTGCATGTGCATCATGTCTGACCGAGTTGTAGGATGTGACCGCCACTAAAGGCCTTGAATTTGAAGACTTTTATATCAAACGAGAGCTTATGATGGGCATATTTGAGGCAGGGTTTGAGAAACCCTCTCCAATCCAAGAAGAAACAATACCAGTCGCTCTTACAGGCCGCGATATTCTGGCTCGCGCAAAGAACGGCACCGGCAAGACAGCAGCTTTCGTGATCCCTACTTTGGAACGCATCAACCCTAAAAGCACAAAGACTCAAGCACTTATCCTTGTACCAACAAGAGAGCTTGCGCTCCAAACGTCCCAAGTTTGCAAAACTCTTGGAAAGCATCTGGGGATCAACGTCATGGTCACTACCGGAGGGACGGGTTTGATGGATGATATCATAAGACTGAACGACGCTGTGCACATTCTCGTGGGGACTCCAGGAAGAGTATTGGACTTGGCCAGCAAGGGCGTTGCGGATCTTTCGGAGTGTCCTACATTCGTCATGGATGAAGCTGACAAGTTGCTGTCGCCTGAATTTACACCCGTCATTGAACAGCTCTTATCATTTCACCCAAAAGACAGACAGGTGATGCTCTTCAGTGCCACCTTTCCGTTAATCGTCAAATCATTCAAGGTAGGGCGAGACTATTTTTGTTCGTTTCGAGGCGTCCACTGATAAGCTTCATAAAGGATAAACATATGCGCAATCCCTATGAGATTAACCTTATGGATGAACTTACTCTCCGAGGAATCACCCAATACTACGCTTTTGTGGAGGAAAAGCAGAAAGTCCACTGCCTGAACACCCTATTCTCAAAGCTTCAGATAAACCAGTCGATTATTTTCTGCAACTCCACCAACAGAGTTGAACTTCTTGCGAAGAAGATTACAGAGTTGGGCTACTCTTGCTTCTACTCGCACGCTCGAATGCTCCAGCAACACAGAAATCGAGTTTTCCACGACTTCCGGAACGGTGTGTGTCGCAACCTCGTCTGCTCCGATTTGCTCACTCGAGGTATCGATATTCAAGCTGTGAATGTTGTCATAAATTTCGACTTCCCGAAGAATGCCGAAACGTACCTTCACCGGATTGGTCGATCTGGTCGTTTCGGACACCTGGGTCTTGCCATCAATCTCATCAATTGGGATGACCGCTTCAATTTGTACAAGATCGAGCAGGAACTGGGGACGGAAATACAGCCCATTCCCCAGAACATTGACAAGAAGCTATATGTTTACGATTCTCCAGAGACAATTCCGCGTCCTATCTCCAATCCATCACAGCCACGTCAAATAACGAATACTGCGGCAAATACGAGCACTGCAGACCGGCGCCATCATAATCATCCAAATAGTGGGCAATACCAGTTCAATCGTGGCCGTGGTTCATACCGTGGTCGGGGGCAGGGTCAGCGCCGGAGCGCACAAACCGAAACCAACAAATTCGGTCACCCCCAGGGCCAACACGGTGGCAAGACTTCAACAGCGCCGGTGTCATGATCTCGCTGTCATTATCTCTCACTTGCTTGAAGTAATGACCTGCATGTCTACACTCGGTTCGCTCCCTTTTGCTTGCACTCGACCAATGAGAGACCCACAGTTTGGGGCCTCCTGTCCTTTTTCCGATTCATTTGGCTTGGCTCTGGCGATCTATTTATTCCCTCTAATTTACTGCGCGCACATCTTGCCGTTCTCTCCTCTTTTGCCGTGAGAAGCGGGTTCTTCGGATTGTCGGTACGGTTCGCACTACTCCATTGTAGTGTATGCGACTTTTTCTTTGGCCTCTACCTTCGCTGCATCATTTGATCTCGTTATTTGCTTGATCCGGTGCCATTTACGCCCGGTTTTTTGAGTCTTTTTCTTCGTCTTGTACATACCTTCCATTGTTCCAAAGCAACGGGTTGGCGTTTCAGGGTGTTCTTCGATCGGTGTCACTCTTCGGCGTTCACAGGTGTCTTCCTGCAAGGCACTGGTGCATTATCGGCTTATCTTTGGCTTCAACTTGTCAGGTGAACCAGAATTACGGCGACATATTTCAGCTTCTGACACGGCGCAGTCGTGTTCAGCCCTTTCATATCCGTCTTGGCTTCGAGGCAGCACTTGCGATCTCAAACTCGTACCTGACTACATACATCTGATGGGGTTCCGGAGTTCTTGTCTGATACTTTTCGGATTACGTTACGTCTTCTCATTCTCCGCTCTCGCTAAATTACCTATGTCTGGCGAGCATGAAAGCTAGGACATATGGGCAATGAGGGCTCCTGACTGTGCTCACCCCCTGGCTCGGCATACTAAAACTTCCATCAATCTTACGTCAAGGTGGAGTTGCGCCACCTATTTGTCTTCCGTTCTCGCCGCATTGTTTGAAGGTCACCGTTCTGCAAAGCAACGCAGAAATCAAATACTGATAAGGAATCCAACAATGGAGGGTTGGGTCTGCAGGATTCAGATGGTTACAGGGCTTGGTTCGTCTCGGATGAGAGGATGTGGTGATCGAAGAGTGAAAGGAGAAAACGCACATACGGGCACTCCCGACATACTAAAATAAAAAAGGTAAAAAAAAGAACAAAAACAGGAAGAAGTGGGTGGAAGGAAATGGGAAGAAAAGTTAGAAAAACGCTGGCAGAGGAGTGCTGGATGGTACCAACCCATTCTGGGTATATGATAGCCTTGACATTGGTAGCATCTAGTAAAATGCAAATGTTTCCCTCTGTCAGAGCTCTCAAATACTTCTCACGTATATTCGATAGGAGACATACTCATCATATAGGTTACTCATAACTTGTGGAGCGCAAGTCACCCCATGGATACTGAGAAGGCTATTTTGCGTTTGGTGCAAACGTTGCATCCCGTATTCCAGATACCGGCTCCCTCCAACTCCGGCAATAACAGTTCTTGCTTACGGGCTTCAAACACATTTCGGATTTGAAAATGGCTACTGCGGAAAAAGATCCCAAGTCCAAGGTCAGGAATGTCAATAACACCCGGTTTCGAGCAATCACTGACTTCATTATAGCCCAGCAGCCTGCGGTCTATCATAGCGGGCTCTTCCGCGGGAGCGGTTGAGATTGGCAAGTTCACTGTCGCTAGAATCGCCCTTTACTTGAAGATACCCCTGCTGACTCCATAGCAGCGATAACTTATCCAGCGGAGTGTAAGATTATCTCATCTTTTATGACATGTCAGGCTAATCAAATTGTGCAGTCGCAAAGACACGATCGCAGCTCAATCGCAGGCTACCCGATGCCAAAAAGCTCCCATGGCCACCATTTGGAAAACAATGGTATGCCGGATGCACGACTTTGATCATAGGAAATTCTCTTAAGGCTGGCATACGTAAGTTCTATCGAGTGGTGCTGCACTACCATTGTCCAAACTTTTTGATAGAGACTCACGCTAGAATATCCTTAAGGCTTCGTTGCCTTCGACACCTTCAAATCTCTACTTCAGGATGAAAATGGCAATATATCCGGACCAAGGACTGTGATTGCCGGTTTCGGAGCCGGATTCACGGAGTCCCTATTAGCAGTGACTCCGTTCGAAAGCATCAAGACGCAATTGTTCGTTGTCACCTCACTTGAATACCCTAGCCCAACCCTCCAGATATTCGGGTCACAAACTGTGATCATGGTGCGCCGTGCAACTGACATACGAGAAACAGAATCGACGATAGAAAATCCGCAAATCCTCGTATGCGTGGATTCCTGCACGGCAGTAAGATCATCTTTCAGGAAAGAGGCCTTCGGGGCTTTTTTCAAGGCTTCGTTCCTACAACAGCGAGACAGGCGGCCAACTCGGCGACCAGATTCTCAAGCTACACAATGTTGAAACAATTGGCTCAGGGCTACGTCGCACCCGGCGAGAAGCTAGGAACTGCCAGTACATTCGCTCTTGGTGGGATAGCGGGCCTCATTACAGTGTACGCAAGCCATCGTACCCGGTGGACAACCTTATGAGCTGTGTCCATCACTATTCGATATGCTAATATTGCTTCCACGCAGCTATGTTACGCAGCCTCTTGACACCGTCAAAACCAGGTGAGCCTTTGAGAACTTGAAATTTGCGCCTATAGATTGGTATTGACCCTCAGCAGAATGCAATCGCTCGAAGCCAGTAAAAATTACAGAAACAGCTTCGTTTGCGCCGCGCGAATTTTCAAAGACGAAGGCTTGCTTACTTTCTGGTCGGGGGCTGTGCCACGTCTAGCAAGATTGATCATGAGTGGAGGAATAGTGTTCACAATGTTCGTTGGGATAAGTCATCCTCGTCCACACTTTCGGGTGCTAATTGATCACAACAGGTATGAGAAGACAATGGAGGCTCTCGACTCTATCGATCCTGAGAGGAAATACATATGACGCCGAAACTCTATATAAGTAGTTGATGCTTTAATTGTATATATGTCGACGCGAAGTCATCGGGATCAAGGTTGGCAGACGGGAGTGAACTTTCTTTCACCACACCGATGGCCAATACCTACCAGTTAGTTGAGGATGATCGTGCAGGCTAATATCAATTTCGGCGCTAATGTGAAGGGCAACTTTACTCCCCGACGGCATTTATCGAATCTTCTGCAGATATGGCTGCTATCTCCCGATCAGCCAGCCAGGTTCTGACACTATCCATTATAGTCTCAAGACTTTCGCCACCATCAAGAACATTGTCCAGATTGTGCACTGTAATGCCGCTACGGTGGTCAGTGCAACGACTCTGTCCATAATTGTATGTGCGGATTTTGTCACCACGACCCATTCGAGCAACGCCTCCAAGAACACCTCTTCTCAGCTCAACGAGTTCCTGCTCACGAGCTTCTTGTCTAGCCTCGGCCAATTTTGCTCGTAGCACTTGCCATGCCTTTTTCCGGTTCGCGTGCTGAGACCGGGAATCCTGCATTGAAACGACAATTCCAGTGGGTATATGAGTCAACCGGATAGCTGACTCTGTCTTGTTTACATGCTGACCTCCGGCTCCGCTCGCGCGCATCTTCTCGGTGCGGACTTCCTGGGGATCAACATAGTAATCACTGTTTGGGTCGTCGAAATTTAAGGCATTGTCCATACCGGCCCCTGCCTCAGGGAAGTTGGGAAGAACCATCACGCTGACCGCGCTTGTATGGGTACGACCCTTGGTCTCCGTGGCCGGCACTCTCTGCACCCTGTGGACCCCAGACTCAGTTCTCAAAAGATCATACGCTCCGTTTGCGTCGATCTCTACGACTGCTTCGCTCAGGCGATCATCTGTAGGCCCGTCTTGCACGTCGAGCTTGATCACATTGGACCGCAGGCCACGTCGAGTACAAAATGCAGTGTACATCCTCAAAAGCTCGAAAGCAAAAAGCCCAGCTTCGTCTCCACCTGCGCCGGGGCGGATTTCGAGTAGGCAGGGAAGATCTGCAAAGGGGTGGCGAGGAACAAGGGAGTTTTTCAGGGTCTTCGATATGGCTGGCAAAGTACGGTCGCTACTTTTTAAGTCTTCGAGAGCAAGAGATCTTAGCTCGTCGTCGGTCTCTGGATCATCGATCAAGGATCTGAGTTCCGATAGGGACTGAGATCAGAATAATCATGTTAGTCAAGATTCACGAGAAGAAGCCAAATCTTTCATTTTTCGACTTGCCTCGTGCGCTCGATCCCATTTCTGCAAGGCTTGCGCAATTGATGCAAGTTCGCCCACTCGCTTCGCAATCTTTGCGTCAAATGAGTCTGTCAATTGGGCGGAAAGCCTAGTATGTTCAGCAGCCAAGGAGCGAGCCCTGGTTAGTAATGCCGGTGAGAGATGAGAACCTGACGAAAAGATTAGCCCATATGCATGCGGAAGACCCTTCGCTTTACGTAGCAGTCAAAGTATCCCTACTCGTGTTCAAGTTCCGCGGTTGTGAGATGGCCCTATGGCTCATTGTGGTTCGAGCATTTCGGGCAAGACATCGAGAGCATATCCATGAGAAGCCAATCATTGATAGTTGAATATGAGAAAAAGCGGTATGGAAGAAAGAGACCAATCTCAATGCTTTGCGCGCGTTCTGAAGTGCGGGCTAGGTGATGGAACTATGGCTGATTAAATTGGCTCGATTGAACACCTGCTTTTGAAGACCAGTTAGTAAGTGCCTTTTCAATCACATTGCTTCTGAGCTGCAACCCTTATACGCTGATTAAGTACGGAACTCCGGCCTTCAAATTTGCAGATTTCTGGATGTGTATTTGCAGGACTTGATATACTTATCCATCCGCCGGGGTTTGTCACGTGAATATAATACAGTAATCTGTAATGGGTCTGTAAAGGCCAGACTGGAAGTTAAGCATATTTAGATGATAGAATATCTACGAAACTTTGTCGAATTTATAAATAAAGAATGCATCACTATGTAACTCGCCTAGCGACCTCTTTCAAGGTCCTGTTGCTGTGTTACCATCCTTCAGATTTTCCATAGTTCAAGCCATCTACCTGACTTATTCAAAGAACGCACCTTGAAGCAGGTTAAGTGCTGCTGAGGAGTGAATTCTATTATGCACTGTCTGTCTGAGACTTGTGTGATACCATAGGTCTCAACGATATCTTATGGGCTGAACTGTCAACATGCTCATAACTTTCGAGTCCTTCACAGTTTTCCTGGCCTGTTTTTCAGTTGCTTGTGGCCTCCAGTCTGCGGAGATACCCCCTGATACTCCTTTGTCGTCTCTGGTCGCTTCGGCAAAAGCCCATCTTGCTAGCGGTTCTGCACGCGATGCTCTGCTCTACTTCGATGCGGCTGTCTCACGAGATCCTAGCAATTATCTCACAATCTTTCAGCGAGGTGCTGCTTATCTTTCTCTTGGACGAAATGCGCAAGCGTTAGACGATTTTGACCGTGTCCTCCAGCTCAAACCGGACTTTGAGAGCGCACTCCTTCAACGAGCTCGCCTCAGGGCCAAGACTGCTGACTGGGACGGTGCACTGCATGACTTTGAAAGAGCTGGCAAGAAGCTTTCGGAAGAGTATAGAGAAACCCAAGAGGCACGCGATGCCGCCTTCCAAGCATTCGACGCAGAGAAACGGGGTGCGTGGGACGATTGTATAGGTCGAGCCAATACAGCGATTCTCAAGGCGAGCACATCACTGAGTTTACGGCAAACTCGGGCACGTTGTCGCTTCGAGAAGGGTGAAGTGGAAGAAGGTATCAGCGACCTTGTTCATGTCCTGCAACTCTCTCCGGGCTTGATCGAACCTCATTTGCAAATATCGGCAATGTCATTCTATGCCCTAGGCGACAGTGAACGGGGTATATCGCAAATTCGCAAATGTTTGCATTCGGACCCAGATTCGAAAGCATGTGCTCAGCTTTACAAAAAAGAAAGGCAGCTAATGAAGAGGCTGGAGAAATTACAAAAAGCGATGGATTCACGAAAATTCAACAACGCTATCAACCTACTTGTAGGTGTAGGGGAGGAGAAGGGTTTGCTTGATGAGGTTAAGGACGACTTCGAGAGTGCGAAAGACGCTGGCCACATCCATCCTGCAGCCCCGAGCAATTTACACTTATCCTTAGTTGAACGGACGTGCGAAGCCTACCGTGAGGTCAGTGATTTCAGAAAATAATTCTTCCTATCTGCCGCAGCTGACTGGAGGTGCTTGATTACAGGTTGGTATGCTCAAACGGGCTGCTCCTTACTGCACCGAAATTCTCCGGCTGAAGCCACATTCATTGGCTGCCCTTCTATTCAATGGTCAGATGGCGCTTGACGAGGAGCGTTTCGAGGACGCTATTCGCACCCTCAACGAAGCCAGAGAACATCACCCGGGATCTCAGGAAGTCCAGACGCTTATGCAGAAGGCACATGTGTTATTGAAACGCTCCAAGCATAAGGACTACTACAAAGTTCTCGGCGTCAGTCGAGACTCAGATGAGCGCACAATCAAAAGAGCTTATCGGCAGTTGACAAAGCAGCATCACCCTGACAAAGCCGTCTCCCAGGGCGTCTCAAAGGAGGAAGCTGAGAAGAAGATGGCCGCTATAAACGAGGCATACGAAGTTTTGTCTGACCCCGAACTTAGAGCACGGTATGACAACGGCGACGACCCCAACGACCCCGAGTCTCAGAGGGGAAATCCCTTCCAGGGAAACCCCTTTGGTGCCGCCGGCGGCCAGCAATTCTTCTTCCAGCAAGGCGCGCCACATTTCAAATTCTCGGGTCAAGGATTCAACTTTCCCCGAGGCTTTCCTTTCCGTTAGCATCTTTCGTATACGACTGATCCTGCAGCTCATCCTACAGTCTACCTTATTCCCACATCTCTGCACTTTCGCGTTGCCCGAAAGGCACGCTACCATTTTCTCGCCTATTGGATTATGATCAATCCCGCCTCCCTTTCCATTTGGAACAGCAAAGTGTACGTTCTCGGTCAGATATAAGTGTAATACGACATTCAATTCTCCTTGTGAATCTGCATTCTGTCTGCTCCACCTCTTCCCTCTCTCGTTTATTATTTTTCTTTTTCTCCCTTTCGTAACAGGAGTTTTAGATTATCACTAGATAAGTGAATGGACACATCAGGGGAGGGGTTGGGCTGATCACTTCGGCGCATCTGTCAATGGTACATAGCTAACCTGGAAAACCTTCTCCTTGTGAACAGAGCCATCCTCTTTCTTGTCAACAACCCATATGTACTGTCCACCACCGAGTCCAAAGCTACTTAGGGTGCCATAACCATTTTCCACGTCAACGGGTATGAACAAGCGTCCTGGGGCACGTAACTGCTCAATGAGAACTGGGTGTAGCTTGTCTGCCGCTGCGCCCACATGGATTGCATCGTATGGGGCCCCTTCCCTCCAGCCCAGACGACCATCGGCGGTGATAAATTTCACCTTTCCGGAATCTAGGAGAGCGCGGCCTTGCTCTGACTTACTCATGTTCGCCCGGGCCAGGTCAACGAGTTCCGGGATATGGTCCACTCCGATAACCTGACCACTGGCACCATTGGTAGACCCGTCTGTAACAAGATTGGCGAGAACATGTGTCAAATACCCAGATCCTGAGCCGATATCCAATACCCGGGATCCCGGCTTGAGGAAGTCAACTAAGTATTCGCAAGCATGGACATGCATATGTGGCGCCGAAATCGTCGCTCCATGTCCGATAGGCTGTGGCGAGTCGGAGTATGGCCGCGAGGGCGCGTAATGGGCGCGATCAACCTTGCAATTTCAGTGTCAGAATCTCGGGTAGTGAACGATTTTATTCTTGAGCTACTGGAGTGAAGGATTCTGGGTGGTGGCAGCGGTAGAAGCAAAGTGATGCTCACGCCCATCATAGCTTTTTTCACCCGATCACTTTTAATCAGTCCTTCCCTGGAGAGGTTCTCGATCAATTCAGTATTTGTGGTGCCGGAACAGTACCAAGCCATTGATGACTGCTTCCTTGTAAATTTCCTCAGCAGTGTGGTTGTCTTTATGTGCCTTTTCAGCATTCAGAAATCGCCTGTTGGATTTGAGAGAATATCCCACTCGAACAACACGTATGATGTTAAAAGTGATGGATAGAATGGGCGCCTTGGGAAGCAGTCACCTGCCGCGGGAGATTCCCATTATTATGTCAATATTACGGAGTACCTCATGTGCAGATGTCATCGGAGCACCATTGCATTAGTGGAAAGGCTCTTGTCGGAGTGCGGTAATCTCACTCATGCGTCATATCATATGATCATGATAAGTAGGTACAGTTACATGTACTCTTTTGGTTGCTTTTTATTGTCCATTGCCTCAATGGGCTTACTGGCTTTTCCAGCCTATGGGGTCCCTAAAGCACCTATGTGTGATGAATCTTGATCTACATTATCGACGGCTAGTTGTTGTTGTTTCTGGGCTTTCCCTTTCTGTATACCTGGAGATACCTGGAGACACGATATCGGCTTTCCCTCTGAATTAAGTGATATATGCTTCTATGTACTCTATATACTAAGGTGTAGCTTCACTCAGTAGTCAACCTCGAATCAATTCATATGCTATGTACAGGGTGCGTGGCAGTAACCAACGTTTGGACATATGACCCACTCCATATCCAGTTGTATATATATATAAAAGCACGGATGATAATATTGTTCCGGACAAGCAGCAGTTTTCTATCCATCATTCATACCATTAAATTTACAAGCAAAGTCCATCTAACAAACCATACGCGAGACAGAATCCTAATCACAACTATAATCGGTACTTATTGTGTTTGCAACGCGAATACTCCCTATGGGCTTAATTAGTTAACTCTCATGGTCACATGGATGGTGTATAACTTTGTTCTCACATCCATCAGAGTAAACATCACACCTCGAGCAATCAAGCCCTCAAAGTGAATCAGCTCACCAAGTCAGGAAGGACCAGATGAAAGACCACAAGGTAGATACAGACACTCAGGTCGAGGTTGATACAATTATACTTGATTATCTGCTGTGCACTGTCATCAACACGTTCCTCTGCACACAAGAAAGAGAGAAGGGATGGCACTGCAAGGATCAGAATACCACTTGGTTGATCCAAACAGTCAATAGTATGTTGGAATCAAGCACCGTCGTAAGCACTAAAGGCTGTGCTGACTATGGACACGATCTCGTCGTTTATCGCTCCCACAGCCCTGGCACCGATGCTGATACATACCGAGACAATCACGCGGGACATGCGCATCAAGCTTCAGCTTCTCGAATTCATCACTACATGCAACCAGAAACAATATCATAGCGCTGCAGCGAACAATCAATCACTACGGCATGGATTCGGAGAGCAGAAGGAAGGATTTACGGTCTCGACCGAACCTCAAGTCTACCCATCACACTCGAAATCCGAGGCCCAGAGACCACACATTGGTACGAACAAGGACTGTACCCAACCAAGACTGGACATCCCACCTGCCATCGCCTATGCATTCATCTCCCTGTGCATCGTCGCAAATGACCATCTGTCCGACAACTGGGCCGATATTGCAGCCCAGCTCATGCTAAAAGCTGCGTATGAGAATCATGGGAGTACAATGCCCGACAAATTTTATGAATTGATAGCCCAAGCACCAGAGGCGCTTAAAAAAAAGCCTGACTGGCAACGAGTGGCTGATAAATATGAAACTTACCTACAGCCACCGCTCGGGGTTCTCCCGTCCAGGGATCTGGAAACCCCACTGAAACGCCTGCCTACGCATCAACTCGGAACCATCATCATCGAGTTTTTGTTTGATCTCATGAGGTGCCTGAACCCTCCGGTTTTGTTACAGCTCGAGAGAGGGAAGCTCTATGGACTGAGCCGAGCGGAAACACAGGGGCTGAAAACCAAGGTTGGACTGCGATGATAATACGTCTGCCTTAAAGAATACAACCAACATACGTTTCTCACTTTGAGCGCATGGACTACTATTCGTAACTTATGCCGATAGCCAAACAAGGGTCTCGGCAGCGATCCGGACGAAGTGTATTGCGAATGCCAAGGCCAATAAGATAGTATTTTACAAAAAAGAGGAGCAGTAGATACCCTTAGACGAACTTAAAGGCCACTAGCCTAGCAACATCCGACGAGGATCTTCAATGTATTCCTTGACCTGAAGGAATCATAATCAGCGGAATGTGTCAAATAACGAACAAAAAATCAACGAACCTTGATAAGGAAAGTGACCGCCTCCCGTCCATCCAAAAGTCGATGATCATAGGTCAGGGCAAGGTACATCATCTGGAAACGTTAGCGCCCGACATCAAGTTGGGGCATTATGGCAATGCGTACCGGACGAATTTCCACTTTACCGTTCACGACTGCTGGCCGGTCCTTGATTGCGTGGAGTCCAAGAACAGCTTTAAAAAGTCAGAATTCGGTTCAAAAATAACGAGGGAGAGGGCACAGACCAGTCTGGGGCAAGTTGATGATCGGAGTGCCCATCAAAGAGCCGAAAACACCACCCTAAAACAATGTCAACGATCTTGTCACTTCATGAATCATGCTGCTTACATTGCTAATGGTGAAAGTGCCACCAGCCATATCCTCGATTGTCAACTTGTTGTCCCGTGCCTAAAGGATGTCAGTGACAAAAGATGCAAGCCAGTCGCATGATGCCACTGACCTTTTTGCCAAGGTCTGCTATGGCCTTTTCAATTCCGACGAGATCCATGGTTTCAGCGTTACGGACGACAGGTGTCACAAGGCCCTTCTCAGTAGCAACGGCCACGCTGATGTCAACGTAGTCGCGGTAAACAATGGTATCACCACCATTGGGGCCCTCGATCGATGCGTTAACGGCGGGGACATCTTTCATAGCTAGGACACAGGCACGAGAAAAAGCGCTCATGAAGCCAAGCTTGACACCAGTTTTCTTCAGTACATCGTCTTTGTAGAGTTTCCGAAATTCCATGAGGGATGACATGTCAACCTCGTTGAAGGTAGTGAGCGATGCAGCGGTATTCTGGGACTGCTTCAGGCGCTCGGCTATTCTCAGCCTCATTCTATTCATTTTCACCTATTATCCCCAAGAAGTAACAGAAGAGCCGCGAGTTAGCGAGTGTCAGAGAGACAACATAGATGTTAAAGGAACTGTAAACGCACCCTACGTTCCTCACGACCTTCGAAGCTCGGTTTAACGTCAGAAGGAGGCTCTGACTTAGGAGCAGGAGGCTGAGGTTTGGAAGTAGGAGCCTGTTCAGGCCGAGGCGATGGAGGTTTGGGGGCCTCTGATGGCTGCGGCTTGTTGGCCTCTGCAGGAGGCTGCTTCTCGACATCGGCGGGCTCCTTCGGCTTTTCAGTAGCTGTCTCCTCTTTTGGTCCAGGAGCGCCACCTAATTCCAGTTTGACCAAATCCTGGCCAACCGTCACAGTGTCTTCTTCGTTGACGAGGAGCTCCTTAATAGTCCCAGACTCAGGCGCATTGACCGACACGTCGATCTGCAATGGGTTGGCAAAACTTTCAAGCAATGTGGACGGTATGTGACATTCGCTGCAACCCTACCTTGTCTGTCTCAATTGTAGCGATTTCTTCGTCCCGCTCAACGTAATCGCCCACCTCTGCCTAATGGTAAGTGAAAGATTTGCAAACTGGGAAAGAGACGTACGCTTCGAAAATTGCTTCAATGTACCCTCGGTGATCGATTCTGCCATCTGAGGGACCTTCACTATGGTATCAGCTGCAGCGAGATCAGCGAAGAACGTCATAAGTAAAGCAAATTGCGATACCGTAAGTTCTGATCTGATAGCCTCCGAGACGGGCGAGACTGCTCCGGGGTATATTGGCTCTGTGGAATGTCGACGGTCAGCCAGAGCAGATAAATGTACATGGACCTCCGATGTCCTTACCCCAAGGACGGAGCATGCAGCAAGCCCGCACCAGTCTTATGCCTTCTAAGCGCCAAAGAGGTAATACTCCTGCGAGCACTAATGCAAGGCAAGCGGGAGCATTGAGCTGTCCGAGGAATAGACCTCAGGTGTAGCTCTGAGAGACGGTGAAATGGTAACCTAGACGCCATATTTCACCCGACTTGGTTGGGTAGTAAACAGAAAGTCAAAGGAGCGAGAGAATCTGGCACGATTGTCTGATCCGAGTAGAGGGGAAACGTATGGCCCCCGAATAACCTACTGAATACCTGTTCAATACGTCTTCACTCAACTTTGCAGTGCGAAGGTACAGGATAGCAGGATAGCAGATGTGACGGAACTTTAAGTTAGCGTAGTGAGTGACCAGGGACGAAAGCTCAACCCCGGGCCGAAAGAACCGGAATTTCCCTCAGCAACGCACGCACATCATCTGCGTTCCATGCGCCCGGTGGCTGACGGAGTATTATTATTACGCTTGTTCGGCTTTCCATAAAGACCAACATGGCAGATTGGCGCACCCTATCAAATTCACTAGGTACGCATCTCAAGAGAAACTCCCCTGTAGTGAGTGGACAGGATTGCGAACAATCACTAGAAATTTACAAATTTGTTCTTCATCTAGCGTTCTCTCTCTGCAGTCGGTGTGTCAGGTCTCAGGGTCTTCTTCCCCTACGACTTTGACAGAGAGAAATCATGTCTGCTAACGCCGTTCCGTAAGTTGCTCTCAGAAAGAAGAGTAGGCTGCGTTGCTAATCTCAACTTCGCTTTTCAGGTCACTTTACCGACGGAGTCTCAAGCTTGCCCTTGACTGGGCAGTTCACAGACACGTATGGAGAGGACAAGCTGTGTATATTCGGTCCCTGTTTGAGGCAAATAAGGACGTCCGTGATCCTCGTCAACAAAGAGTAAAACTCCCTCTGGCCCCAGCAACCGTCTGGCCGTTGCACAACCCCAAGTCATCAGCTTATACAAACAAATATGGCAGGTGCTACTCCGCGAAACCGAGAAATTACTCGAAACTTGGAAACACCCTGACCCGTACCGCGCACCTACTGCCCCTGGTGGTAAGTCTGATAAGTTAGAAAAAGGGCTGCATCATGCGCAATTGACTGATAATGTCTTCCAGGCAGTAAATATGAGAGAAACCTTCCTGCTCCGCAGTTACCTTGTATGTCACACCATTTGATCTGTCGATTTTGCCTCGATTGACATACGTCTTAGATGCTTCTCAACATGCAGATGCCCACTAAGCTTGGACGGCGTACCAGGTCCATATATTTGCGTCATTTAGACGAGATTACAATGGGTTCCCTACTCGAATATAGACGTGGTGTTTTATTAACATACCTCGGAACTTGTACCCTGGATGTTGCCTTGAACAATTGTGGGAAAGCGCAGAAATGCCTGAGTGGCGGATTGTAATAACTAAGGAAGCTGCAGACATTCAAGTCTTCTTGGCGTCAGATCTACTGAGATTCCCGTCGTCTCCGAAAGACAAATTTCATTAAGAAAGCTGTCGGTATCATTCAATGCCCGTAAGCATAATGTACAACCATAAATCAAAGCATGAAAAACAGAGCCATAATTGTGCCCAGTCCAGAACCCCGTTATCACATCATGAGAAACCAAAGCACGCCGATTGAGAAAACCCGAACAGGAAAGAAAGAAAAATAGGACAATTAAAGCTCCTGGCTAGGACCCTTTCCACTCTTGGGAGTCTTCTTGGGTAGAAGGTCTGAAAATTGGTTAGAAAATATAGCCAAGACGGAACCCAAGTGCAAAACTTACTTTGGTGGATGTTGGGCAAGACACCACCCTGCGCAATCGTAACGTGGCCAAGCAACTTGTTCAATTCCTCATCATTGCGAATGGCAAGCTGGAGATGGCGAGGAATGATACGAGTCTTCTTGTTGTCACGGGCAGCGTTGCCAGCCAACTCCAGGATTTCAGCAGCGAGATATTCGAGAACGGCGGCCAAGTAGACCGGAGCACCTATACAAAGGTATTATGGTCAGAACCGCAAGAAGACAATGACCTAAATCGGGTAAAAGACGTACCAGCACCGACACGCTGAGCGTAGTTACCCTTGCGCAGCAGACGGTGAACACGACCGACAGGGAAGGCAAGTCCAGCCTTCGAAGAACGCCTAAATTCGAATGTCAGCATGGTTCGAAGGTTCGTGGGAAACAGGGTTGTCTTACGACTGCGCGTTCTTGCTGCCGCTGGCTTTGCCTCCGGATTTGCCTCCAGTCATTTTTTCTGATTAAGTGGTCAAGGTTAAACTGTCGTAGTGGTTTTGGTAGTTGATGGTTTTCAAATTGACGCGGCGGATGTGTAGTAGATGGACAGTCGTTGAAGTAAACCAAGAGATTGGGTGGTCAGCGCGAGGAAAGCCAGGAGATTTATAATGACGCGCTCAGGGTGACGTTGGCCTACCCAAACGCCCTTCAGATCACCCTCTCGCTTAGCGGGGCTGACCAATCACCAAAAAGATCATGGTCCAGCGCTCCAATAGCTTGGCTACATCTGTGAGCTACGATCTGTGTGGCCTAGCACAGTGTTGGGGTTCCAAATCAAGTTAAGCGCTGTAATATTTCAGTGTAATAATTATTACATCCGTCTTGGCATGACTTCGCCCTAGTGTTTGTAGTACTTGAACTTATTTACCTTGCTTTAATCATACAGATCATACCAAGCCGTGACCGTATTGAAATTCTGTCTCTTTCGCGTACTTCAGATCAACTGGGGTTTCGCAGGCTGGTATAAGTAGCGCGCCTCCCTCGTCACCGCGTCTCCATCATTCTCATCTTCCTTTTCAATCCATCTGCACAACGTTCGAACGTCAAGTTTCCTCAACACAACCACAATCTACTCTTTCGAGCTCTATTTAGTTGATAACTTCTTTTGATAATCTTCTACTCACAAAAATGCCTCCCAAAGCTGCCGAGAAGAAGCCTAGCACTGGTGGCAAGGCGCCCGCTGGAAAGGCTCCCGCCGAGAAGAAGGAAGCGGGCAAGAAGACCGCCGCTGCTGCCACTGGCGACAAGAAGAAGCGTGGCAAGACCAGGAAGGAAACCTACTCCTCCTACATCTACAAGGGTAAGTAATACTACTGGTTATATGTGGTGCGGAAGCTTACCAGGGTCCAGTTCTCAAACAAGTTCATCCTGACACTGGTATTTCGACTCGTGCCATGTCTATCCTGAACTCTTTTGTCAATGGTATTTTCAAAACCTCGAAAACATTTGAACCCGATTGTATTCTAACCCATTACAGATATCTTTGAGCGCGTCGCCACGGAGGCGTCGAAGCTTGCTGCTTACAACAAGAAATCAACCATTTCGTCGAGGGAGATCCAGACTTCGTGAGTAAAGCCCTTATCCACTAGACGAATTACACTAATTCTTTTTCCAAGTGTTCGGCTCATCCTCCCTGGTGAGTTGGCGAAGCACGCCGTTTCGGAAGGCACTAAGGCTGTTACGAAGTACTCTTCTTCTGCCAAATAGGCATGTCGCTTCTTGCTTCTTTTGCCTTGTGTTTGTTTCTCGGGATTGTCATTTTTACTGCCTCCTTATCTTCATGGTTTTGAGGCGGTGGGTTACAGGGTGTTTGAGGATCTTTTAATGTGTCATGGGATGGTTTGATATTTTTCTTTTCTTTTTTCTCTCCTGATGCCCTTTTGGGTTGAATGTGTTCATGGTTCATTCGCGACGAGAATGCGGTGTAACATAACTCGGATTTTTGGGGCTGGTTGCACGATTTTCCTTCCCCTACCATAAATCGGAATCTCATTTGCTTATGCAACATATTCTTGACAGTCGCCTCGAATTGATGGGATTGGGGATAATATGAATAGCAGTTCCACATTGCTCCTTTGGTTCGGTTTCCATACTTGGCATATCACAGAGCCATCCGCTGTTTTCTTTCAATCGTCCAAGGCCTCTACCTCATCGATCGCCCCTTCACGGCCCTGAAAGACAGCAGTGTCTGATTCGCTGAGCACATGTACGATAGGTTTCCCCTGAACAGATACACCGCTCTTCCAGTGTGTCCAGTCTTCTTTGTCTTTTATAATGAAGCCGATAAGCATGCTCGGATCCATGTCTCGAATGTGGATTCTCCTGAGGCGTCGAGTATGATAGGTTTCTATCTCTTCATCGGTGTATGGTTCATCGATATTGCGCTGTGGCAACGCTGGGCGGGTTTGATGAGGGTCAAGGTAAAATAGGTGTGAGCCTTGAACACCGACGAAGTAATGTGATGCTGATGGGCGTCCACTGCAGATTTGGTCACCACTGGTCCGGAAATCTTGGATCTTTTAAGTGATAACGTACCCTGCTATTCCTACCGATTGTGGGAGTTGCAGTGTGGTCTTTACCGCGTCCCAATACACGGGTGTAATACGATCGATTCCCAGTCGCGTCCCAATTAATATCAGTGTTGGCCTGAAGGACCCTCTCTCGTCGTGGGCAGCATCCAGAAATTTATCTTCATGCACATCTGCTGTATCATCAGTCATGTAGACACCAATGTTGAGGCTTCTATGTTGAGACACAAGCGCCCTAGATTCATATGTGAGCTACGCTAATGGGCCAATGTGTATGGGACATACTGTATGCATCTGGCGGTCGCGGAGGGCCCAAACCATTCCCCGGGATGTTTGTTACAGGACTCGGCACCATGCTGGACAAATCGATGTATTGAGAAAGGTGCATCCGGGTGATCTGCAAACTGTGACAATAGCTGAGCTTCCTGATCAGTGTTGATTCCTCGACGCCAACCTGTAGGCACGTTAGCTCCCTGCGGCTTAGGTACCGGGTATATTGGTGAAAGTGATGACGTTGGTTGTTACCTCGGCCAAATAACAATATGGACATTGCGTTCGCCAGAAGGCTCTGCCCTGACCTTATCATGCAGCCCCATCCTGTGTCGGATGTAAATCCGTGTTGGTCAACGAGCTGGCTTCTCAGTCGCACGCTCAATGTCATTGCGGAGTACGCATCCTGTTGGATAGGCTTCGGTATTGGGGGAAAGTTCGACCTGTAGGTAATCCAGATCCTTGATTCGAAGTCGAGAAGGAACGGTTCAGGCCAGCCATGTTCGTCTAACTGGCTCGTCGTTGTAGCCTTTGGGACCACCTGGCTTGGTCCTTCTTCGTTTGCCAGTCGCATTGATTTGTGCGATGCTATGGACGCATGAGCCCAAGAGAGGCAACTACTTTTTCATCTGGTGTGGCTTACCGGTGTGCCTATTGTCTCTGTCCATACCATCCGTTGTATATTTGGTTCCCATACACCAGATGGGGAGTTCTGGCTGGTCGTTCCTGGGTGCAGGGTCCCAGATATACTGTATAATTCGCTTGCAGCGTTCCATGTCTACCCCATTCATTTTGAAAGGCGTCTTGTAAAGGTCTGTATATCGGTCTCTGCGGAGTGCTGATGCGCTCTGGTCGACTAGTTTGCTTTATTGATTTATATTGTTGGCATATGTTTCACGTCAATGTTGGTGTGCTGCTTGTGCACATCAGTACGTAAAAGGCTCATCCCAGTCACCTAGTGCGGTCAAAATGGGGGGGCTATGTAGTGGATAGACATACAAATGCGTATTGGTCATCTGTTGCTGCTATGATGATCTATGGTTAGCGGTGATCTCAGTAACTGTTGTCTTAATGAGGGGTTCCGTCATACAACATCAGTCACGAGACTGTTGTATACGTGCAGCACAAATATATATATAGTCTCTCTCAACTACAGTAGCGGGTGTGGTATGTTACGGCTTCAAAATCAAGACCATCTACCTGACCACGAGGACACGCAACGATAACCGCGTATAGATACAAAGCCTACGATGGTTACATAGGTAGTGATCCATAAAGTTATGCAACCCTCGAAAAGAACCCAATGACATACTTCCGTCATAGGGACGGCTGCCACCACAGATAAGGATATAAGGTAGTGATAAGCACGTCACATGCATACGACACCACATACACCGCCTTCAATGTCAACGGAAGATAGACTAGGTAAATCTTGACTCCACCAAGTCCCAACCTTTTAAGAGAACCTAGCAGACCGAGTTTTTCCAACACATAAGAACCGCTGTGGAATGCATACAGAAAAACCATAATGCTAGCGTGCTACTCAGAGTAAAAGAGGGCATCGATATTGAACCGAAGAGGGCATACCCAAAGATTCGATCTCACGACCATAATATCGTCGAAGGCAAAAAGGGTGGAAGACATGGCTCGCCACAGCAGGGCGAAAGTACGCACGAGCAACCGGAAGGCCGTGGCAAAGACACACACAGGTCCGTCACCCCACTTATAACCAAGCGACCATAACCAAATGACTTGTTGCAGCTCACAGGCATCCCCAGCTCTCCATGCAGCAAGAAGCACGAAACACCGAGGGGCGCAATATATGGCGGATGGGTAGTAACTTCCGTCATCAGGCGGTGCAGTTTGTGAGTGCAGGTCTACAAGAAAACGACGAGGAAAAGCCGGAAAGTTTGGACATGCAGCACAAGGGAATAGAAATGACCCCACCTAAACTACCCCCAGAACAATGCAACGGGGAGTCCATGCGATATCCACCCCCTACTATTATTGCACCGGATGGGGAGATTCCCAGGGATACCGAGCATATAGACCACATCACCCCCGGAGGGGATAACACCAGCGAGGATGAAATAGTGTTTACTGGACGACACCTTAAAACAAAGTACGCTCGAGGGCCATCCGACAGAAACCGATCTCCGATATCGAGGCCATCCGGGCAGCACAACTCTAGGAGCCCTGCTCGTCGAAAAGAGCATGAAATCTCCGACCTTCGCAGAGGACACGAATGTAGCCCGCAGGATAACGGTTCAACGCAGCCTTGGCTACCGCATCACAGCCACAAAAACACGATACAATCATGTCCCACACCAGAAAACGCGTCGGGTGACCTACCGCATGCCACAAAATCGACCTTGCCAAAGCGAACCGAGCGAATACAACCACGTGCCATCGATGGAATTGTTGATTTCATACCCTTAAATTCCAGACGCCCATCAACTAGGGAGCAATATTCGAGACTTCGCGAAGACGAAGAAAATGACATATTGGCCGATTACATAGCGAACATTGACGATGACTACGAGGACTACTGTCAGTGGACTGATTTGTGTCGCAGTACAAGCACGGAGTCCGACAACGGTCAAATGGACAAACCGGCATCTACACTTGTCTCCGCTGAACTGGTCGATGCCAACTGTTCCGAGCCACAACCAAACAATGGAGAGGAAATATTTCCATGCGTACGAGGCCAAATGTTGGCTGAATGTGAAGATGAGAGTGACTCTGATCTGGCTTCCAGAGGTATGCCCAGTCAACTGCATCCAAACACTTATGCTGAAGCCATCAGGATCTACTGCTAAATCGAATGCATTTGCGGTACTTTGCACCACTTCGACGGACGGGGCACATAGCTCCTTGAGCTCTTCCGAATGCAGTGACAGTGAAGCGAAGGGAATCGGCAAGCACACGGAGATCGAGACAGAGAGCAGTTGTCTGTCTCGGTCGCACCGTAACCGCAGCAAAGCAAAGGAAAATTATTTCGCCTCGGCAACCGCTTTCGCTGATGCATTGGAATCGGACCCATTTTATGGATTCGATATAATGGACTTCAACAGACCCAGCCTGCGGAACAAAGCAAAAGGGAAGCAGCGTGCCTTTGATCTGTCATTATCCGATAGCGAGCTGGAACTGCAACTAGAACGGGCATGGCGAAATGACAGAGAGAAGAAAAAGACAAGGAAACAGAAGAGAGAAGAGCTCCGTGTTGGAGGCCTACTCGGTCGGAATGCAAATGCGCCTGATCTCAGAACTAAGTATTCAAGTGGCTTCGATGTCGATGATCTGAAATCAGAAATGCGGAGTTTTTTGCTATCATCGAAAGAAAGGTACGGGTTTCCCTGCAGCCGTTATTGAAAGTTTTAAGACTAGAATGCTGAAACCCGGACTTTGTTCAGCTTGTCTCTTCCGCCCATGTCTAAACATTACAGGAAGGTTGTGCATGACATGGCAGGCGCACTGTCACTCAAATCACAGTCCCGTGGCAAAGGGTCGTCCAGATTTCCCATGCTGTACAAGACTTCCCGCACCCCAAGGCATACACAGAAAACGATTACACAGGTGGAAAGAATATTATCGAAGTCTCAATTCTCTCACCGTGGCCCCAAGGTACGGTCCCAGAACAACAAGAAACCGGCGAAGGCTTCTCGTGGTCGCCCTACATCGTCTGTTAGCTATATGGAAGGCGACGTCGTTGGTGCCTCAGCACCGGAAATTGGAGCGGAAAACAAGGGAAGAGCTATGCTCGAAAGGATGGGATGGAGTTTGGGGACACCGCTCGGTGCCATAAACAACAAAGGCATTCTGTTACCTGTTGAGCACGTCGTGAAGAATTCCAAGGCTGGCCTGGGGTAATTAGATCTGAGGACCCTACAATCCCTAGTTGCGTCTCCTATGGTTGTCTTTCTAAGGCTAAGTGGTGGGCCTGCAACGATGATAGAGGTTCCAACACTCAATACGCCTGTCGCACTTCCAAAACTCCTTTCATCATCCGATGAATGGCACGAACCTGAGGTGTCCCTGCCAAAATGCTTTATGATATAGAAAGGCATTTATTGTATTTATGACTGTGATTATCCGCAAACCCATGATGTTTGTGGCATCTACGTCAACATAACTCCTTTCGCTATGAGATGGTTGAGGGAACGAGTGGATAAAGATTAATAATAGTCACATAGGTCATAAAGGGGTTGTTCAAATGCTAGTCTTTGCTAACTGACTGGGGGCTGGGCATGGTCATACTTCCTCAAATGTGTAAAAAGCTGAGTTTTGGATGGAAACGCAGCATTGCAGGCGGTACAAATCAATTCGGGAGAGTGACCCAGAGCCTGCTGAGCCGCCTTTCGAGCACGTTTCTGTTTGGCTTTGCCAATCTTTTTTATATCAGTCGATGGACTCTGACCCAAGCCGGAGGCCGCCAATTCTTGAGATAGTAAATCAAGAGCATCGTCCGCCCTCTGTGAGACATCGACCGAGCCTGTGGGATTGAGAATGGTTTCGCTGTCTTCCATGATGGGTGCAATGTTTTGATCAGCATCAGCATTGCGTCCACCTTGGACCTTACCACTCTCTTCATGGCCGAAGAAGAAAGCTGCTGAGTCGTCGTTGCATTGCTCTAGTTGAGCATGGTCACTGAACGGTGCCATACACTGGTCAAGATTGAGGGACTCATTTTCTGCTCTCATCTCCCAGCGAAGCTGTTTGACAGCCTTGACGTGTTTCTTGCTACGTTCGTGCGCGCTGAATTGGTTCAGGCTCTTGAAAGCCTTCCGGCAAATGATGCACTCGAATTGCTCGAGTTCAGATCCCGAACTATCCGGATTCTCTTCCTCAGCCTCTTCTGACTTCGCCCAGTCAGGTATAACATGCTCACGCAGCTTTGCTTGATTTACTGCTCTTGATTTGGCAGCTTGTGCAGCGGCAGATTGACGGAGGAGCTCCCGGCGCTGGGCTTCGCTTTGGATGCCACTTTTATAGCGCGGATCCCTCTTTTTAACAAAAGCCACAAGTGATCTGACAGCTTCGTTAAATTCGCGGATACCCTCCTCTCTCAATCGCTTATTTTCTTTCTCCATCAATCTGCGCACGCGACGATCTGGAGCCTCGGAATATCTGTAAATATCTTTCCAGGCGAAAGACTTCTTGGTTGAAAAGCTACTCCAGACGGCATAGAAGGGCCGTACGACGTCTTCGAAAGTATCACTTTGTGACCCGAAAGTCGGATAGTCGACAAACTCCAATTTGTCTGCGCGACATGCCATTTCTTCCTCGAGGGCAAGCCGGGTAAATACTGCTCGAAGGCCGCCGAAGAATCCAGATGGAGAATCCGAAAATTCCATTCGAGGACTGAACTTGGAGAACAGCTTCAAGATGTCACCAGAGGTTGTCATACGGCTATCATAGCAGTATTCGCTACTACTTGGCTGCCCATCGCGACTCAAAAATGCATCTTTGTGAGTATCATACCATGCGCGCTCCTGAGGATCTGAGAGAACTTGATATGCAGTTTGGATTTCTGCAAACAGTTTCGTTGCAGCTTCGACATTGCCATAGTTTTTATCCGGGTGCAGCTCGAGAGCTTTTCTTCTGTATGCTTTTTTTATTCTTGATGAGATTCGAAGAGAAGAATGTCAGCCTAGCAGGTACATAGCGGGTGATAAGGGAGTTACAATCTCACTCATCTGTGGAGGCGTCATGTTGTATCCCGAGTAGTTCATAATAATCTTCTTTCCTCTCTTTGGACGAAGGTTCAGCAGAATATGCATTATCCTGAGAATTTGTAGATTGAGATTGGCCCATAAGGGATTGAGAACCTGACCTAGGTAAAAATAATGGAAGAAGTGTACGTAATGGCGTTGCGATATAGCTTTGAGTTCTGCGTTTCTAGTAGATATTAGTTTAGGGTAGTCAGTACTTATTTTAATTTTCCTCTGCGGCTGTTTCCTATGCGGAAAGGTATGATGGACCTATTTCAGAATATTTCACATTGGTAGTTACTGGCTTCTACATACTTGCTATTCGTATTACTATTAGTTAAGGAATCATCATCAGCATTCTAATTTAACTTAATGGAATATAAGATTACTAAGTGCATTGGGCCTATTATAATAGTACTACTCACCTCTCTAGTAACTAACTTCCCTAGGTGTAAGGTTGGCCACTTGAGTTCTGAGGTCAACTGGTTAAGATCAGCGCGAAGGGAGCAATATAGTGGGATATTCGTTCATCATAGTAGGGAAGGGAGCCTTTGAATTATATAAGGATAGGGGTAGGCTAATAGCTGTCTATATTTAAATACATTATTAACATTAAGGGGTTCCCATCGCTTTTATATTTTAACCTAAACTATAAGGAATGGAGAGTTCTAGATACTAGATATATAATTAATGATAAGTACTAGATATTATATATATATATATATATATTAAGATTATATCCTTGGAGGCCCTGCCTGGATTGAAATTTATCTATAGAGTTTATTATTTAGTAATTATCTATAGGACTTAGTATTACTAAGATATATTAAGTTATCTAATCTAGTAATTAGTTAGATATTATTATTTCTTTATTAATGTCATATTTAGAGAATTAACTAAATTATTCCTTATACTTTTAAAATTAGAATAGTGGTAGCTTAGTACATTCTTTATTTAATATATAAGGGGTATAATTAGATTAATTTACTTAATAATATTAATAAGTAAGTTATCTAAGTAATTAATAAGTAATAAGTACGTATATAAAGAAATATAAGAAATATAAGAAATATAAGAAATATAAGAAATATAAGAAATATAAGAAATATAAGAAATATAAGAAATATAAGAAATATAAGAANTATAAGAAATATAAGAAATATAAGAAATATAAGAAATATAAGAAATATAAGAAATATAAGAAATATAAGAAATATAAGAAATATAAGAAATATAATAAATATAATAAGTATTTATTACTAGTATATATTACCTAGGTATAAAATTTGCTCCTAATCTTTTACTTATAATATAATATTATAACTTAGACCCTAATATTAAGTTTTTTTATAAAACTTTTTTTTTTATCTAAGTAGATAACCTCTTACTAGTACTATCTATTTCTAATATATTATAGTTCTCTATTCCCTTCTTTATATCTATTCTAGTAAATTTATTATGATACTAAATATCCCTAAATATACTAGTATTAGCTAAGTAGTAGAAGATAAAGTTAGAAAAACTTTAATAGCGCTTTAAAGTCCTGCATTACTCTTTTAGATCCTATTTATAATATAGACTAGTTAATAAAGAATAGTAAGATATAAGTAAAAGAGTTGAAATTAGTTAGAAATTATAATGTATTCTATTTTTAGTATTATAGTATAAAAGTAGAGGTTTCTTATAATTAATAAAAAGTAATAAGAGGGTTTTCTAATTATATATTATAATATCTAAAGTTATTAATTTAAATAAGAAATATTATTTCCTATATATTATAATGTATCTATACTAATTATATCTAGTATAATAAGGGAGCTAAGTACTTCTTTTATTCAGATTATACTAGATTATAGAAGCTAGACTTTGATATATATTTTTCTTTTCTCTTTCTTTATTTTTATTTTACTCTTTTTCTAACTTATATAGTTTCTTTCTTATATAAAGTAGGTTATAAGTTTTAGATAATAGCAGCTTAATTATTTAAGACTAGTCTATTATTAAGAATAATAATAACCCTCTAAGGTCTATATCTAAAGATTATTATTCATATTAAAGTACTCCTATAAAATAAACTATTTTTATAATCACTATCTCTAGTAAGATCTTCTCTTACCTCTATTTTAGTAAGATTTATTTTAATCTATCTTTCTTCTTTTCTAAATTAAGTACTTCTTTATTAAAAATTAGTAATTCTATCCCTTTATTCTTAAAGAATAATCAATGTAAGGCTTTTAACCTTTTTAGTTTTTAATTTATAACCTTATAGAGTCTTCTAGGCTAATAATAAATTTATTATAGTTTTATTTCTTTAATATTACATCTAAGATAGGGCTCTAAGCCTCTTTAGTTTTACTTTCTACTAAAGAAAAGAAATATACTATTTTTACTTTAGCTAAAGTTACTCTATATAAATAGAGAAAGTATTCTTTTAATAATATTATTTTTAATTAGTTTATTTTATAGAAGGCTTTCTAGTCCCTTAATAATCTTAAGAGGATAAAGAAAGGCTAAAAAAGAATACTATATATATAAAAAAATTAAATATCTTAAGGCTCTTAAAGAGTCTAGGGCTATTAAAGAGAAGAAAAAAATTCTAAGAATAAATATTAGAAGAGTCTTATTAAGAAGAAGGCTAAATAGTCTACTAAGCCTATAGATAATAAGAATGAAGTAATAATCTTTAAAGCTAAATTAGTAGAGATTAAGATAGTCAAGTATAGCTTCTATTAAAAATATTAATAAAGTTAAGAAAGCCTTTTAGTAAAATAAGTTTAATAAATTGATAAATATCTATAATTTTCTTTATTATTTCTTTTAGTTAATTTATATTTAAGTAATTAGTTATTAGCTAAATATATAAATCTTTCTTTAGTTAATTCCTATTAGTATTTTACTAATATATTCTTAAAATCTTATTCATTAGATATATTATTTTATTAAGATATCCTTCTTTATCTACTTTAATATACTTCTAAATATTTAGTAGATTTTATTTTTAAGTTATTCCTAAAAGTTTATTATATAAGAATAAGAGGTTATTAACCTCTTTAAATACTTTATATACTTTAATATATATAGAGATTAATAATTCATTTTTTATAATTATTAAGACAGTATAGCTAATATCTATATTTTTTTTAGTTTATTATTAATATATATTAATATAATATTTAAATAACTAATAAATAATTTATAAAACTAAATATGGAAATAATAGAGTTATAATATAGGATTTAAAACTAAACTATAATTCTTAAAAGGTAAGGGTACCTAAATAGAATTAATAATAGAATAATAGTAAATTAATAGAAATTAAGATTTAATAATAGTACTAAATTAAAAGGAATAGATAGATTATTTAACTTAGAAGCTCTTATAAGGGAGTAATTTAATTCCTTCCTTTCTAGGAAGGTAGTTAAATATATTAATATAGATTTAACTAAAGTAGAATTATTTAATAGATATAAGGGAATCCTCTGCTACTCTTATTTATTACTTAATATTTAAGAGTAGTTTAAATAATAAGATTAATTAAATAGCTGTCCCTACTTAATTCCTAGATGCCCAGGACATACTACTATTTGGTATAGCTATTATGGTTAATGCCATATATCAGGGAAGATAATGATATAATAAGTTAAGGAAGTAGCTAAGCTAAGAGGTAGGCACAAGATTATATGACTGTATTACTAAACTGTTGGCATACAGCAGTTACCCCCTTGCTAATAAGAATAGACTAATATTAAAGTTATTACTATTATTAGTAGACTAGGTTTAAGGGGTCTCTAGTAAAGAATAATAATTAAATTAATAATAGTAATTAAGGTTATAGTCATTAATAGATTTTAAGGCGATTAAAATAATTTTAATAACTCAAAATCTTATTCTTTATAATTAGATAGTTAATTATATTATTGATTACTTTTTATAAGACTTAAGGTAGTCTATAATATCTATAACTATAATATTATATATTAGGGAAGAGCTAAAGAATATTGTATAATAAATTATTACTATTATAGGTATCTAGATTAGTCTAAGGAGGTTAAAAATAATTAATATAAAGTAGTTTTATTAGTTTAAAAGTAAGTAATATAAGGTAATTATTAAATCTATATTATTATTAATACTTTAATAGTTATAATATTATATTTTCTAGGTTTATCCTAGCTAGATTAAGCTATTAATATCTTTAAACCTTCCTAGGATTAAATATTATGTATTTACTTAATCTAGATATGTTACTAGATAGGATATTTACTTATTATACTAGGGAAGGGAGCCTCTAAATCAGATAAGGGTAGGGGGTAGGCTAATAATAGCTGCCCTATATATATCTTACTAATATTAAGGGTTTCCCATCTCTTTTATATTTTAATCTAAACTATAAGGAATGTAGAGGTCTAAATACTAGATATATAATAAATAATAACTACTAGATATTATTATATCTCTTATAGATATTATTAAAATCATATACATGCCTGTTAATATCATAATAGTCTAACCAACCCTTCCACCTAGTTTCAGGATCGCCCGCTAGGGCAACCCTACCACCTTAATATAAGAGGCTATCTTAATGTAAGCATATTATCCTATATAAAAGCCTGTATTTTAAAGCTAGATATCTTAATACTATAAGTCTAAATACTTATAAAACTTAGTATATACCTTTAGGCTTTAGTACTAATATCTCTATAATATAATATAAGGAGAAAAAAGTCTATTGCTTCTTAAACCTCTTAGTATCTAGTACTAAAATAAATTATAAAATATATATATATATAGAAATAGACTTCTTTTATTAACTTTATTCTTCTAAAATTATAAAACCTGTAACTTTACTATACTATTATATAACTAATTCATAGATACTTTATATATTAGATGTCACGGGCTAGAAGCTGGTTGAACCTATAACCTAGGTTTGGATAGTAAGAAATTACTAGAGTGTTCTAACTAGGGCTGTAGGGGCCAAGCATCCGAAGGAGGGTGCA